GCTAACACGCAAAATACCACGGCCAGGAATAAAACTCAAAGATGGTACCCACTGTGTTTCTTTCACTGGATCTGCCTGCACATTCCCGCTCGCCCCGTAGACTTTATATTGGGACGGCGTCACACACACGCCTTTTTAAGGCTCTGGAAAAGGTTTTACTTTGTGGATTAAAGTCCAGGTGAAATAAGAAGTGTCATTTTAATCCCATAAAATTGCATCCTCAGTCATATTATACCCCTGTTTACCAATATATGCCAAAAAATTTATAAAAACTACATTTCTTTGTGTTTTTATCTATGCAGAAAAAAGGTCCTATTAATCCGCTTAATCCAGATTTATTTGTCCCAGCACAGTTTCATAATGAACTGGAAATAAAAAGTTTCTTATGTTATTAGCCAGAATCTTGTGAACCCCTAATATGCATTGAACCATTAATTTGTATTGAACTATTATTATATGTTGGCAACCGGTGCAACATATGAAAGTCTCACCATTCTTGGGTCTTAATCTGATTACCGAAGAGACGTTTCTGGATCATATTTAACAAATGTGTTAGGATCCTCACTATTATTCTGTCTTGTATTAATTAATTTAAAAAAGAAAGATAGATCATAGAGCTGACTCACAAACGACATGTCACTACTCCCTGAGTGTTGTGCAAACTGTCACATTTTAATACACGGTGGAAAGGGGGTGTATTATACCGGGTTAGTATTTTCAAAGCAATGAGCGTTTGGAGCAACAGGCATTTGTTTTTGGGGGCTTTTGGTTTTGGCCATTTTTCTGAATAATGGACAGTCCCTTTTAGAAAACAACATCTGGCAGATATGGAGCAAAATAAGCATTATTTGGAGCAGTGTTTCTGGTAAATCAGCTAAATTAAGTCCAATATTCACCCTGCTTTTAGCTCTGTTTTCAGTCTCCACTGACTCCTGAACTCTAAATACCCCACTGTGTTCACCAGCTCCTTGCCAAGCGTTGCCTGTCTGCCGTTTGCTGCTGGGGAGGTGGCGTACAGTCGGTTTATAAAAGAAAACAACTGCTGCCTTAAAGAGTTGCCAATATATCATACCTTTATGGGCACCACTTGCATGAGTATAGCAAAGTTGGTGAGGTGGTTGCACAGACACACAGAGTACGTCATGTTTCCATCGGAGCGTACGCATCCCTCGTTGGACCATATTCCCTCATTTGAACTGAAAAGGATGACAATTTAGTATTATTTACAGAGGAAATACACTCAAGAGATATATTAATATAATGACTATACAGAAAAAAAGGTTTTTATAGGAGCACTGCTGGCAGGGATCACTCAACATGATCCACTGTGGGAGGCAGGCAGAGAAATTTCTCTGCTGATGGTATCAGGGCAATCTGACAGGGCAATCCAATAATTCACATTTTTTCTTGAGCTTCAGGGCAAAAGGGGAGTAAGGAGAGGAAGCCTTTGAATCCAACTAAAACACACTCCCTTTTAAGATGATTTATGCTTTCTGAACTGTGTTTTGGCTCTATTTATCAGAACACAATTTGAGAGGGCTGTTGCTCAAGATACACTGAGCTAAAACAGCAACACATGTATACGTAACACTGGATGTTTTTGATTTCAGTGAGAAAAGGGGGGAATACACCTTTTTCCAAACCCACTGGTCATTTCCTACGAGTTAAAACCTTAAAGCCCGGAGCAAAGAGTCGACAATCAAGATAAAATCTCTTTGGCTCTACGTCTGAATGAATAATTGAGACATGCTGCATCTGAATCACGAACCCACCTGTAGTCCAAGAAGGCGCAGTAGAGGAAGACTTTATTGCTCTGATTTAGTACTTGCTCTTGCTGTTCTTTAGTCTGAAAAAGAAAAATAGAAATAGACCTTTAATTGCAAACGAGAAAAGTATGTGATATGGGGAAACATTTGCTTTTGGATTGTGCCGGCTCATTAAATCACAAGCTTCGGTGTCTCAGATCTCGGAGCAAAGTGTTCGGAAAAAGCGCTTTGATCAAGAAGGCGATGATTAGCGGCGTTCTTTCCTTAATGCTCTTTGGCTTTCTTTCCATCCATATGTTCAACAGAAGCAGTATATCTTGATATATTGAGGCTACAAGTACTGTAAAGTTTGCTTTTGTAGCTAATTTTGCTTTTGAGACTAAATAAAAATGTGTCATTGGTGCTTAAAGTCTAGGAAAAATGTCATTTTAACCCTTTAAGATCATATCCTCAGTTATATTGTACCCCTATTTACCAATGTATGCCAAAAAACACACAATAACTAAATTTATTTGTATTTTCTTGTATTGTATTGTATCAAAATCCAATCATTTTGTCTTCCCATACAACAAAATGTGACGCATAATAATGTAACCACGTTTCTGGAGCCTGAAGCTCACTGATTACTGTACTAAACCAGAACTTTATCAGTGATTTGGGTAAAACTGGATCATATTTTATGGAGAGAATATTGTCTGCTTTTCCCTCTGACGTACTCAACTGCGCTAACTGCTTATGTAGCGTGCAACCGAAACGGGGCTCAGCAGCGTCCCAGTGAACACAACCTCCGA